TGAAAGATTCTATAATTCGTTTTTGACCCAATCTAAGGCATCTATGGCAGCCAAAGTACTTATTTAAGTAGTATTGATAGGTGAGAAGCATATTCACCTAAAAAATTCAAAATACGCTTACATCAGCCCTTCTAACTTAGTTCACTTTGAGTCTCCACTGCCTAACGGTTAAGCCTTGAGTTGAACCGAATGTTCGAAACTGCTGTGCAGCTTTACCGTGCCTCCATTAACAGGAATTCCCACCCTGACTTAACAACCACTCTGAGCATGCAACTTCAACTTACCCCGAAATCAGACTGCGCTAACACTCGGACAAGACATTCGGGGACGAGGCTAAGTTGAAATCTTGCATGTATGCCAAAAAAATTTGATGTGATTGAATATTTCAGTTTATATGGAAAATTGTGTGAAGGAGATTTATAAGTCGGCATCGCCCAAAACCGAAGTAAGCTTTACTTGCATTTGTGAATATTGATTTGAGCGTAAAAGCCCTCGGCTTACTGTACTGAGGCCTCTAATCCATGAGTTCTGATGATCTCTCATTTGTCCTAGCAGGTTTCATAAAATGTTGGTTGGTTGAAATTCCTATTTTGGGCTCTTAAAATGTGGCTGGCTACTTCTTGACCCTCATACAGTTGAATGTGGCCGAGTATAAAGTTTTGCATCTTATTCCAATTGGGAGACTAAAGTAAGAAATCAGATTAGAAGCAAATTTGTAACGTGCCTCCTTGTAAGTCTGAAAATCAAGCAACGCTACGACCTACAGGTGATGAGTGAAAGAAAGAAAAGCAGCAGTTTCAGTGACTGACACATGTGACAGCTAAGCAAATCGGCTTCTGATAAGTGTCGGTCAGCTGACCAGACTTTTTTGTCTGCAGGACATGTCTGTAATTTCTGGTGACAGATTTATGCTGCTGCTGAGTAGTTGAATAGTAAAGAGTAAGAGTGAATCCTTGGGCCACAATGACAAAGCTTGGAGACAATTTTTTTGAAGTTTCTTACCTGTAATGTTACATTGGCTCATAAGCAACTGTTTTCTTACTCATTATCCGAAAGCTCTGGTGACAATTCGAGGGAAAATCTATCCAAAAGTTAATATGGTGCTAATATGATATATTTGGAGGGAATGTGGCTAGCCGAGTAAGTTCGAATCCGTGGTATGTCTTGATTCCTCCTCAACCAGGTTTGGTTTTTGCTCACTTCATTGTACAATTTTGTACAGTGTTATGCTTTCTTTCCTTATAAAGTTACACACATATACATGCAGTTATACATTACCTTATATAGTTTTGTTCACAAATACAGTTATATCGTTTTATTCATTACTATCTGCTCGTTATTTTTGTGTAAAAGTTTAAGCTTCGTTTCATTCTATTGGGTCCTCTGCATTGGCCATTTGCTCAGCTACTTTTGATTGCTGGGCCGATAAGCTGGTTTTGGGTTCGCTATTCCATGTCTATGAAAAGTAGACTGGACTAAATCCAACTCCCATGCCAAGATTATTGTTTTGAAAAGTCTCTTATAGAATCCTTTCTCGCTTTTACGATACCCGCCGCGGCAGAGGAGACGAAAATTAATCATGGATGAATCGTTGTATGACTTGTACACTCAAATCAGTAGTCACAGCGGATTGGCCAATTTACAAATCCTTTCTCTCAGCTTTACACAAACTGCACAGCCTAATTGCGTTGAGTTGATACAGCAGTTCAGTCTGGACGAGAAGGTTAATAGGCAATCAGGCTTGCCAAAATTCTATGGAATGACCAAAACTCTTCCCCAGTTAAGCTTATCAAACACAGTCACGTGAACATTGTAGGCTGTGAAAAACATGGTTATTCATAATTCATAGGCTCTTAATCGTTTCCATCTTAAAGCTAAATGATGCGCTCCAATAATGCACATCGAATTCCCCTTTAGTGCAGCACAAACCTCAACCAATACATAAAACAATACTTTAAATAGCTGGTAAGACCTAGACTATGTAGCCCTAAGTTTTATCTTCTCGGCACCATACAGGAGCCATAATTTAAAGATAGTCCTTACTCAGTGTCCAAAGGGTCGATTTACGAAGACTTTTTCAGCTTCTTTTGTAAACGAAACCATGGGGATTCTTTGAAACCCAGCTTTACTTCATAGCTTTAAGACGGTTGCTTCTCCCATACAGATCATAGTTAGAAATAAGGCGAAAGTCAAGCTCTTTAGAAATGTCTCTCCATTGGATTTCCATCGGCCATAAAAATCACTCAGCTAGCCATCTAGGTCAGCTCTGGAATCCGTAAACCACTGGCCTCCTGAACATAGAATGGAGGGGATTGGTAACATCACTTCGATCCTCACGACGTGATATCTAATCCCGCTGAGTAAGCGGATGAAGCCATGAAAAGTTTAAAACTGCAGTCCACCCCGAAATATATAACATTTTGGGAAGCTAGGCTAAGTGAAATTATATGACATTCGAAAGGCTACTCATCCCATTGAGCCCAAAACGTAAGCGAACTAGATTGACTGAGCTGCTATTTAGCAAACCCCCTAGAAAAATCCGTTTTCATGTTGCGCAAGTGATATTGTGAAGACAGTTCTCCTCTCTCTCAGCATTATGCAATTGTTACATATCATCAGAATCATCCTCTTCTCCTGGCCTTATTTTCCTTTCATAATCCCCGTTTTGTTAACTATTATTATTTATATTAGACACTTA